TTGAATGATATTAGCAAATTAGTGATTGTAGAAATACTGGAAAAGTAATGGTATTTCAGTGGTCAAACAAATGTGTCATGGAGTAATATAGATTCATTGTTACATATTTAGGTAACAGGATTCATTCTTTTGATGAAACCAATACTTTTGGGGGGATTTAAAGCCAACTTTTATTATCAATTGAGTATATTACGAAATATAGTGTAGTGGACAATTTGACATCAGAATGATGTATGCTGACGTCTTAGTTAATATGAAAAACGGTGGAGTATCCCTTTAAGGCCGTGTGTCCACCAAAGCGTTTTTAGCCAGCTGAAAACGCTAGACGCTCTGCTGAAGACGCCGTGCTTTGGGCGCTTGAGAGCGTTTTGGCAGCGCAGCGTTTTTTTTCTGTTGAGACGTTTCGTTGCTATGATACAGAATATATGCAGCAGTTTGAATGTTGTGACAGTTGGTCGGTGTGGTTTAGTCCCGCCCCTCCTCCACTGTGATTGGACGGCTGGGTAAAAAGTGACAGTGATGAGCGCTGTGTTTTATCCAAAGTTGAACATTTTTCAACTCCCAGCGACCAGTAAAAATGCAGGGCGCTCGGCGCTTCAGCGTGGAAAAAACGCTCAGCGCCTCGGTACGCTCTTGGCATTTAAAAAACGCGGCGCTCCTATTGAAAACAATTGAAAACATTCGCCAGGGGCGTGGAAAAACACTTTGGTGGACACACGGCCTAATGGCAGGAAGGCGCTGTGTCATAAATTATGGATAAATATCGTCAGTGCCAGGGAAAGTGAAAGTAAGGGTGACCATGACCTGAACGCAACACATTTCATGACATAAAACGGCACGACTTAACTCGGCACACCACAGTGATGCATAATAAACGGACCGGACGAGAGGGAATCACACAACTTTCCTCTCACACAAACGCACACTTGTTCTGCCTTTCTTTGTATTATTCTTATGCATAATACATTCACTCTTCGCTGGTAGCTTTGAACTCACTGTCCTTCTCTCTCTCGCTCACTTTTTCTCTGAGGGCTTTTGCTCTGCTTCTGCAGGTTGCATGATTGCATGAGGGACCACCAAATCACAAACGTCCCCTCAAACACACACACAAACACACTCCCTGCTTTCTTCACACATGCTGCGGATAAATGGACAGCGATAACAAGCTCAGTGTGTGTGTGTGTGTGTGGGAAGGTCTTTGGCTCAGACTGGCTGGACGCTTACAGAAACCAATGCCAGCAGCAATAAAGATCCCGCTCCAATTAATGACACCAAAACAACCACACACACATAGTTCATCAGAACTCTCTGTTATGGAAATGGCCATTTGTTCTCCATCAAGAGACAGAATATTGGATTTGTTGTCATACATAGATAAAAAACCCAAACAGTAGCACAAAAACACTTAAATGCACTAGTATCAGCTTTAATGTTTAACATTTTTAATAGATATGGCCTCATCTGGTCAGTTTTTGAAAGATGCGTCCATTGCTGCCTATGATATCCCAGAATCCTGTTCGTTCAAAGTGTGAGTTGATGTAATGAATAATGGCAACGCTGACAGTAAATACATTTAAAAATGTCCATTCTTGAGAAGCAAGCATTATAGTCATAAAATATTCACTTGGTTATGTCTAAAGCTCACTTGAATTTGTTCTAGATCATTAAACGTGACGTTATGGTGCCTTGGAGGCCTGTCTGAAACCAGAGTCTGGATCTTCATGCAGAAACACTGTCTGTGAAGTCATTGACTGACTAAGCTCTTTAAATAACAAACAAGGTTTTAGTAAGTAAGTACTCCATGCCAAAAATCCCCTTTATCCTGTGTTCTTGGATGCCAAGAGGTGGAAATTTGTGTTGCCTGTTCGAAAACGTGTGTTTTACGGATGCTAGGCATAGCTCAGCAAAACTAATTAGTTTGTTGTTGTTTTGAATGTAAAAACTCACTTGAAAATTTCAAAATGCTACGCTAAGCTAGCTTCTGCGCTAACTTTTGATGAGATGTTTCATGGCCCTTTATAACGCAAGGAAACACCCTATTAGATGGTGATTTGACTAGGTCATATCTAATTGGTCATAATCTCTCCCATGACAACATTTTTCTGGCATTGGTATCAACTACTGAAATGTTGGTATTGTGACATTAGCACTAATGCACATTACAGGCATTTAGAAGGAGTGCGTCAGTCCGGCTTTTCTTAACCGCGGAACTGAAGTGAAAGGATCTTGGCATCATGGTCTATAGATATCAGAACATATCACACACACACTTGTCATTTATAATTCTCTCTGTTATGGAAATGCGCTTTGTTCTACATCACTTCCTCTCTGTTTCTCGGGATATTGGATTGGTTGTCACGTAACGCACACGCATTCAGACGCAGTGGAGCGCTGCGGCTTTTCTTAAACACAGAGCTGTCAGTGAATGGATTATAATGCAGTCTACAGATAACAAAATATCAGCAGATAAACACGCTTACAAATATTTTCCATTAGAAAAGAAAACAAAAAGCGTGACCTTTTCCATGCAGTTTTAGTTTAGAGCATGTATTTGTCATATGTGAACGAGCTATGAATCCCGAGTTCGTCAATGTTTCCGCACTGCATTTTGCAAAGCCTGGCTCACACTCATACTGTATGTTTTGTTTATGTTTGCGTGACTGCATGAAATATGTGTCATGTAGTTATTTTAGTGTGCAATTGAATTGACAATGGCTTGTCATAATGGCTTTATGTATTGATAATGTTTTGTGCTTATGTGGATAATGGCCTTTTATAGATATTGTGTGGTCTTTTTTGTAGTTAATTAGTGTGTGTGTGTCGCTGTGGGATACAGTATGATCAATAACCTGTACTGATAAAACAGTTGTGAATGTTTTTTTGTTTTTTTTTCCACCTAATAGTAGGAACATTCTAATGTTACATAAAGATTGTGTCATTTTTAAAATGTTGATAATGAACGTTCTAATGATGTTTTTAGTTTTTGATTAAAGTTCTCACGTTATGTTATGTGAAAAGTTAGTTAAACATTATCAGTGTAGGCTCATATTGAAGGTCTGATTGCTACTGCTAAAAAAGATATTACAAAATTTGTGTAGTTCTAATAACAATTCTAATATTATAATTAATTATTATTATAATTATTGTTTAACAAATGATCAAAGTAATGTTTTTATTAAGCTGTATATTATGTACACTGTAAAAAAATTGTTGGTTTAACTTAAAAAAATAAGTAACCTGGTTGCCTTAAAATTTTAAGTTCATTGAAATGGAAAAATTGAGTTAATACAATGAAGGAGATTGATTTAATCACCAGAAACTCAAAATATTATGTCATCTGAACTACATAAATGATTTAAGTTGATTTGACAAAAGAAAAAATGTTGTGATTACAAATCATAAAACATATTGAACACATCTTGCTGAGTGAAATTTTTCAGAAATGCTAGTTTAACATTCATAAAATTAAAAAAAAAAAAAGGCTAATGTTACATAAAGATTGTAAAATGTTTCACATATTGTTAATGAAAATGTTATTAATATTGGATAAACATTCTCACAGTGTTATTTGAACTGAACATTCAGAAAATGTTTTTGAATATCTTTTTTTGTTTTGTTTTAGCTATGTATCTGTGATAGTGTTTAAGTGTACAGTATGCACTGCCGTGTTTGTGTTGGGCTTATGATATGCATTTTTATTTTGTTGTGTAAAGTCTCCGGCCAGCTGAGCCTGAGATTTGGTCAGTTTAAACAAGGCTTTAGAGCAGACAAGATGGTGTTTGCGTACTGAACCTTGACTGCTCCAAAATGCCTGCTGGTTTTAATCTGACAGCCTGTCTGTCAGTGTATGTGGACACAAAAAGAGAGAAAAGGAGTGTGACAGAGAAAGAACCGAGAGAAATAAAATAAGCTGATCTCTGCATTTTATGTGTGTGTCTTTTCCAATTTGTGGGACTGAGTTGGTGAGTGTGCTGTAGGATATCATTAGAGGTGGAAAGGGATGTGTGTGTGTTTGTGTGTGCTGAGTCATGTGTGGGCTGACCACAGCAACTCCAATCTTTGTGTGTATATTTTGTGTATGCATGCGTTTTTTTGTGTGGGCAAAAGTTGGACACTGTGTGTGAGTGTGTGTATTTGCATGGTAAGGTCAGTGTTGGCACTGGTGTTTTGGACTGGAAAACATCCTAACTGTCCCGCAGGACACACACAAAACAATCAGTGTCTACAACAAGAGTTGACTTACCATACATACACACACACACGCAAAATGCCTTACTTGCAAACACAAACAATACCAATTGAGAAAGTACTTTAGACTGCTATTGTTTTGGTATTTTATTAAGCTAATTATAACTTACCCTAAACCTTACCTTCAAAAAATGTATTTATTGGATTCATGAATCATTTTTCCAATTTATGTACCCAAAGCTTTCAGATTCAGCTAATAGTTCTTGGGACTATTTTGTTAGATAAGTATAGCTAAGTAAACCCACACACACCGATTTCCTCTCCAGCAGCACTTTATCATACCCAGTATATTGCTGAATCCACAACATTTTGTCCTTTCTCAAGAGTTTTTTTTTTTAAACCATGTCATATTGTGTGTGTGTGTGTGTGTGTGTGTGTGTGTGTGACGGGTTGTATTTTTGATTTTGCGTTCTCTATAATTATTTTGTTCCTGACTTGCATTCTCCCGCTTTTTTCTTCTTCTTCTGTGTGGATTGTGTGTGTAAGTGAATTTTCCTGAATTGCATCCTCCTGGTTTTTCTGTAGCATATAATTGTGTGTCAGTGTCCATTTTGAGACCTGGGTAGTGATGTCATTCGGCTTGCGGTTGCACCAGCCCTTCTTTGGTACACAACTTCCTTTGCTTGTGTTGGATCTTTTTGACTGATCCCTAGTGACCTCTGAGCTTTAGATATGAAAGGTCAGGTTGTGTGCTGTCATTTCATTTGCTCTGCCTAATGCATTTTTCTCTTTTTTTCTCTCTCTGTTTCCAGGATGGGTTTGGTGATGGGATGGCAGTGAGCATGGCCCTTTGGGCAGGCATATGGGCCATTCTCCTACAATTGGCCCTCTTGCTTTTCTTCTCTCTGCCTCCAGGCCACTGCCAAGGTGAAAAATCCCGCCTACAGTTTACTCAACCACTGTACCATGCGTCGGTGTATGAGAACTCAGCCGCCCGCACCTATGCCGCCAGCAAGGTGCGCATGGGCGTCCCTCTCCAGTATCACTCCTGGGAGGTGAGGTACCGCATCACCTCTGGGGACGAGGAAGGATTCTTCAAGGCAGAGGAGTACACTCTGGGTGATTTCTGCTTCCTGCGGATACGAACCAAAGGGGGGAATGCTGCCATCTTAAACCGTGAAGTTCAGGACAACTACTTGTTGACAGTGAAAGCTTCCATTAAGGGGGATACACTAGAGGCCTGGACTAAAGTTAGTGTGCAGGTGTTGGATATGAATGACCTTCGACCACTCTTCTCCCCTACCACTTATTCGGTTACCATTGCAGAAAGCACACCCCTACGCACCAGCATAGCTCAGGTCACTGCCACGGATGCAGACATAGGATCGAATGGAGAGTTCTATTACTTTTTCAAGGAGCGAATGGAGCTGTTCGCTGTGCACCCGACTAGCGGAGTTGTTTCACTCAGTGGGAAGCTGGATGTCGACACTCAAAGCCGGTATGATCTTGAGATCCAGGCTGTGGACCGGGGAATGAAGCTCTATGGGAATAACGGCGTAAGCAGTACAGCCAAACTTTTTGTTCATGTAGAACGGATTAATGAGCATGTGCCCACACTGAGTGTTGTTACCTTATCACCTGTGTGGACTGAGAAGTCTCCTGTCATAGCTGTGATCACCATAGAGGATCTTGACGACGGGGCAAATGGAGAGATTGAGACAGTGAGCATTGTGGCTGGGGATCTTCTTGAGCTCTTCAGCATTGAAAGGACAGAGGTACCAAGTAAAGAAATGGTGGACGAGGAAGTTAGTCAGACTGGGTCTAATGAGTTTGTCCTTCGTGCAACAGAACAAATCAACTGGGACAGCTATCCATTTGGACTAAACCTCAGCTTGCAGGCTCGGGACCGTGGAACACCTCAAAAGTTATCGGCAGTGCACATGGTGCACTTACGACTGTCACGACCAACCCCGGCAGAAGTCATATTTCAGAAGGATGAATATGAGGTTCTTTTGAGTGAAGTTGCCCCTCCTGGAACTGTTGTGGAGGCTGTGAAACTCCAGCCAGAGCCAGATGATGCGGAGTACATCTTGACCCCTTCCGCTGATTCAGGGTTCTTCAGTATCAACACCATGACAGGTGTCATAAGCACGGCACGTTGGCTCACCCAACTCACACGGAAAGTATTTGAGCTAGAGGTCTTAGAAGTAGACAGTGACCTTAGGGTCAAGGTTAGAGTCATTCTTGAGGATGCCAATGATAATGCACCTTTATTTGCTCAACAGTCTTATGAGGTATTTGTCAATGAAAGTGTTGCCGTAGGCACTACTGTTGTTGTGGTGACTGCTTCCGATGGTGACCATGGGGAAAACGGGTACATTACATACAGCATGGCTAGCTTGACACCATTACCATTTAATGTGCAGCAGTTCACCGGAGCAGTCACGACAACACAGGAGCTGGACTTTGAATCATCTCTAGAGACTTTTAATTTTGTGATTCGTGCTTCTGACTGGGGTTCCCCATATAGGCGTGAAAGTGAAGTCAATGTCACTGTGCACCTAGAGAATGTTAATGATAACAAACCACTATTTGAGAAAGTGGCCTGTGTTGGCATAATCTCTCCAGACCTTCCGGTAGGTGAGGTCATCACCACAATATCTGCCATAGACATTGATGAGCTAGAGCTAGTTAAATACAAGATTCTCTCAGGGAATGAGCGAGGGTACTTTGATTTAAACCCTGATTCTGGTGTCATGACCTTACAGCACCCACTCAACACTGTGGCACCCAAAAACTCCTTCAATCTAAAAATTACTGCCACAGATGGGGAACACTTCTCTGATCCTATGTTTGTTAACGTATCAGTAGTGCAGGGGAAGATACCGCCCAAGAGCTTTAGTTGTACTGAAACAAGAGTAGCCCAACGACTAGCTGAGAAACTTCTGAAGAAATCCAAAGCTAGCAGTAAACCCAAAATAGAAGAAGGCTTTATTGACCTGTTCTCTGTCAACCGTCAATCACCTCAATTCGACAAATCCTTCCCAACGGACATCACTGTGCGTGAGGATGTAGAAGTTGGCATGAGTGTGTTTCAGGTAAAAGCCTTTGATGGTGATACTGGGTTCAATGGACAACTCTTATATGCCATAGCTGATGGCAACACAGACAGTTGTTTTACGATTGGAATTCTGAACGGTATAATAAGCATCTTCCTTCCTCTTGACCGTGAAAGGACTGACCGCTACCTTCTAAACATCACACTGTACGATTTAGGCCAACCGCAGAAATCCACCTGGCGGCTTCTTACAGTTTACATAGCAGACGCAAATGACAATGCACCTCAGTTTCTTCAAGATGGTGGGTACCAAGCCCGCATTCCCGAAAACACTCCCATTGGTACCGAAGTAATTCAAGTGGAAGCTACTGACAAAGATCAAGGTCTCAATGGGGAGATCCAGTATTCTCTACTCACCAGCACATCCCAGTTTGGCATTAACAGCTCCAGTGGGATTGTGTATGTTGCAGGTCAGCTGGACCGAGAGTTAGTTCCCTTCTTCATATTAAAAGTGGAGGCACGAGATCGAGCAGAGCGCGCAGCCCAACAGTTTTCTGTAACAACACTTAAAATATCACTCAAGGACGTTAATGATTGTCCACCTGCCTTTATCCCAAGCGTCGTCAGTGCCCGTGCACTAGAAGACCTTCCAGTGGGTACTGTCATTGCCTGGTTGGACACACAAGACCCTGACCTTGGACTTGGAGGGCAGGTGCGATACTCACTTGCTACTGACTATGATGGCCGTTTTGAGGTCGACAAGACTAGCGGTGCCGTTCGTCTCACCAAGGAGCTGGATTACGAAACTCAACAGTTTTTCAACCTAACAGTTCGAGCAAAGGACAAAGGCCGACCTGTTTCGCTCCTGTCGGTTAGCTTTGTTGAACTGGAGGTTGTGGATGTCAACGAAAACCTGTATCCTCCATATTTCTCAAATTTCGCAATGAATGGATCAGTAAAAGAAAGCGTTCGGATCGGGACTTCCGTGCTCCAGGTCTCTGCACGGGATGACGACACAGGAAGGGACGGCGAGGTCCAGTATTCCATTCGTGACGGCAGTGGTCTCGGAAGATTCACCATTGATGAAGAAACAGGTATTTGTTGATTACATTTTTTATGTTTAATTTCATTCAGCACTCAAGAGTGCTGCCAATTTTGTTAAATTTTGTCTTTTTTCTGAGTCAAATTAATGTATTGATTTAACTAGCCAACTTTGCCTGGTGTAATCACTGAAAATTGAGTAGAGCTAATATGGGAGGGAAAACGGAGATATATGCCACTCACAGTGACTTCCTGGGACATGAATGAAGAGTGAACAGGCTTCAGTAGTTTATCTGTCACCTCAGGCCAGTTAAACACTGCAGTGGCCTACATTTTATTTAGGTCGAGTTTGACAGTTGAGATGGAGGGGGAACGATTGAAGTATGATGGGAATTTTGATAGTGTTATGGTTAATGTTTCATACACTGCAGCATTCAGTTCATATGCACTGTTTTGATAGTATCATTTGTTTTTGTCCAGTTTTTATGTTAGACAAAGTGAGTACATTGTAGGTGTGTGTATCGGCGAATAATGATTTCCGCATAAAGAAATGTGTGTGCGTGTCGAAACGTGAGCGTGTGAGTGTGAGGTTGATTTATGTGTTGTGCCTCCATCGAGTGGACTGAATTACCACACAGAGATCTTTTATTTACATTTATTGCAGTTGTCATGTCATTCTGTCTGACCCAAACACTTAGCTTTAACCTTCAATTTTTTCCTTCTTTCCTTTTCTCTCACTCTGTCATTCTCTCTTTCCCCTAGACAGTGCGTTTTCCGCCAGCTAGACCGATAGCATCTGGGTTTTTATTATTGTTGCGCTTGCAAGCATCACTATTATTTATAATAGGGCTAGGGGTTTGAGCAAATTTCTAACAATAAGTATTATTATACTTTATCTATGGACTCCAGAATAAGAGATGTGTTTGATCTTTTGACTCAAACCATTATCAAAACTTCCTATAAACTACCTGGCAACTGCACACTTTGGCAACCACAACACGCTAGTTTTGCACAGGCAATTACCTCCAAGGTTGTTTACCATTTTGCCCCAGCTAATAACCAGCAAGAAACCAAGCCTAAGCTGTATTTGTCCAACTGGAGTTTGATAAGAGTGTGTATGTTTATAACTTTATATTAAAAAAAGTGTATGTGTAGATGAGGTTGACGAGACTTCAGAGAGACAGCGGGGGGAAAAAGAGATCGGATAAAAGAGTTTGGGGTTCAGAATGGTGTTTGTGTTCGTGTCTACTCACCCGCAAGCTGCCTGAAAATGATCTAGAGGTTTCAAAACGACCCTCAGATCTCCCGTGGTCTTTCACCTCTCCTTGAAACGAGGGAATAAGAAAATGGAGGCAAAGCCATGAATATCTGTCCAATGCTTTTAAGATCACGGCCTTTAAAGGCCATGATTCACACACAATGGTGCAGAACAGTCACCTTCTACTTTTTAAACCCTGCTACAACTCACTGTCAGCAATAAAGCAAAGTATCTCCAGCTCTCTACTTTAGTACTGAGGTGAGAGTGGTTTAAAAACATGGTTTTTGTGAGATTTGTGTCCTGGCAGCAGGTGGATCAGTGTCTGTCATGAGTCGTCTTTGAGGATATTACACCTGCCTTGAGGGTGTAATTTTTTATTTTTTGTGAAGGCTGCAGTGTAGATATTTCAAGTTGTGATTTTTGAGATGGAAGGCTTGTTTTGATAGCCTAGGAAAACCCAGACAACTTTAGGCAAATTTAGATTTGCTCTGAAAGTTAGTCTGGCAAAGAGCTCATTCAAGCCCATTTCCAATCCGTCGAAATCGCGGCACCAATCAGAAACGTTTGTTGCGGGCTTTACACGATGATGACAGCGCTGGGATTTTAAAGCAGATTTTGTTGCCTACATTACAAAGATGGATGCCGCCGTCGAACATCACTCGTTCGAATCAGCTATCTCGTCTGTTTTAAAGGTCCCGTATTATGCTCCTTTTCACAAGATGTAAAATAAGTCTCTGATGTCCCCAGAATGTGTATGTGAAGTTTCAGTTCAAAGTACCTAACGGATAATTTTTTACAGCATGCTTAAATTGTCATTTTTTGGGGTTTAGAAAAACACAGGGGGCGGAGCTTCATGAGCTCGCGCTCAGTCTCTCAGGACAATTTCATCTCACGGAATGATGATAATATCAGAAACTCTCAGTAACGGTGTTCATTTCGAAATGGGACAATAATGCCTACAGAGTCAGAGTGCTGTATAGAGATGGAACAGGTATAGTTCAGTAGTTTAATTATGGTTATTATTAGGGCTGGGTATCGATTCACATTTCAATTTCGATTCGATTTCGATTCGCAAGCTCTCAGTTCGATTCGATTTCGATTCTCGATTCGATTTTCGATTCTCGATTCCTGATTTGATTCTCGATTCAACTATAATGAAGATGTAATAAAAATCCTATATTTATAATTTATAAAAAAAGAACAGTGGACATAAGTTTACTAGTGGTTAATTAATACAAGAAAATTAAGAGCCATAAACCTATATATAAAACACTTTTTATTTTAGGTACACTAAATGCATACAAAGATTTTGATGCAATATGCAAAAAAGAGTCGCACAGAACAGTCGCACAGCTTGATCAAACAGTATCATGTTATTTTATGTTTAAGATAGATAAATATATAAATATTTAGACATTTTTTACATTGATCTTACCTAAATGTTAATGTATTTTTTTTGTTAAGAGTTTATGTATGGATGCTTCATTTCAATCTTTGAATTAAATTGAAAAAAGTAGCACAAATAAATACAATAGAATAAAGACAAAAATTAAGAGACATTTTGGGGTAGTTTTTTGGGTATGTCAGATATACTACAGAAACTGAATAAAGTAATCCAATGTAAAATAACACTGGATAGTCTTTTTAATCCAGACTGAATTAAATACAAAGGCTATTAATTCTGATTGCTTACAATTAATACTATATTCTGTTGTTATGACAACAGAATTAATGACTGACACAAATGGCTGCGTTCACTTTAAGAACTAGTGTGCGAATCCATTACTGTTTCATTAACTTTCTGTCACACGCGTTTAATGCTAATTTAAGACATTACCGACTGTCTTTACGAGGTTACTCACCAAGACCAGAGTTTTGACATAATGTTGCGTGTTTTAACTGTTAAAGCGATATAATCCAGGGATAAAACTTTTGTTTCTGGCGAGCTGTTTGTGAGGCGGATTTAGGCTGTGCACGCAGTGAAAGAAATCTCTGAGAGTGCGCGAGCATGGGATGGTTTAACATTGCTTGAGCAAATGAATGATAAATGTTAGTTACGATCATAGGTCACGATGCAATGCTGGCCCGATTGTGCAAGTGAATATTCCGTCGTGTCCCGACTCCTAAACGCGTGTGTGTATCGACAGCTGCAGCGCTTAGCGCTTGCCTAGTGCAGTGAGACGAGAAGACGCCGCACCGCGTCCGCGAGCCCTTTATATTGAAAAAAAATCGATTCGTGGCCGTTGAAAATCGATTTTGAATCGACCACATTTTAAAAAACGATTAATCGAAAAATCTATTTTTTTGCCCAGCCCTAGTTATTATAACGTATTTGTTATCTGATTGTATGTTTCCATTATTTATTAATAGCCTACAAGTCTGCTGTTTCGGACCAGGTCCGAATGATGATCAAACATACACTGATGAGTTTAATAAAGTTTTTTTTGTACATTACACAAAAGATGAAGCGTCAGTTTTACTTCAGAAAGTCACCGCAAGAGCTGAGTAAACACAGTAAGTTATAAGAAGCGCGCAAGTTGAGGGAGTTGAGAGAGCATTCCTGTGGGCGGACGTTAGTCAAAAAAACTGTTCTACTGACGTCATTAAAGCTACACTGTGTGATTTTTACCCCCATCTAGCGGTGAAAAGGTATATGACCATCCATTCTGTTCCTCTCAATTCCGATTTCGTATTTTTGAAAGAACTAAGTGTTTTTAGCTAAGAATAAACTAAAAGAGTTACACAGTGTAGCTTTAAAAAAACCGAGCAAAGAACAACACTCGCTCTGCATACGTCATCTCCTTCATCGCTCTGATTTGTTTTAGGTCTACCCGCGACGTCCATTGGTGACGCCCCTCTGGAAATGATTTGTCTATGACGCGTTGCCAGTTAACTCAGTTACAACTGAGAATGGTCTGGTTTTAACCAGGCTATTGTTTTGAGGCAAAAAAACCCTAAAACAGCAAATTTGTTTCTTTTTATTTAGCAGCACTGAACATTCCAATAGTGGCTAACTAATGTGTATTGATCATTTTCTAAAGGTTCTGAATATTTAATACCTTTATATATTTTGTTTATTAGTCGCTGCAGCCATATTTCATGTGCTTTAATTAATGCAGGAGGTCGTCTATATAAGAACTCGGGAGACCAGCATTTTTCAGTGCAGAATAGCTTCAATGAGGCATGAGATTAATATAAAAGCACAATTTAAAACCTGTTTGAAACACTGTTTGATGCACAGTTTTTTATTTTTTCCAATTCTGTTCGGTACTGTGTGTATTTCACGCCATATAAGGCGATATTTGATGGTTCGGCATCAAACATTTACATCTGCAAGATCCTTGATAGCCTGTTTCTATGGTTGCAACCATAAATGATCAAATCACACCGGCACCGCTTTGTTTTTTTCTTCACCTTTCTTCACCAAGTTTTATCCAATTGCATGCTCGCACACGAACTGGCCGAGGGTAGACATTCAAAAGGGGTCAAAGGGTAGGAACCAGTGTCAAAGGTCATGCACTCTGTGTCACTGACCTGTCACTATTTCAATGAAGAGACTATCCGACTGTTTGCGTACAGCTGTGTGTCTGTGTAGATTTGATGGGAAGAATGAGGACAGGATAGAGACTCGACGAGAAGTGCAAGAACACAAAAAGGCAGTTTGCATGTTGTACTCCACATGACATAATTGAATGTTTGTAAATGTGCGCACACACACACACACTCAAGCACGCACATTTTGCAGTAGCACTAGCAAGTGGGGGAATTTATTGCCCTTGTTAGCTCTGTGCTGGC